AAAAAAAAAAAAAAAACGGTAACCTGGTTGCCGAGCTCACGAAGTGAATTGGCTTGTTTTACAACGTCTTGCCAAGCAACGAAAACCCAATCCCGATGGCAAACACCGGGGGGGGCGGCTTGTTTTGCAACGTCGTTGCCAAGCGACGAAAACCCAACCCCGATGGCAAACACCGGGGGAGGGGAAAGGGCTGGGGGCGGGGAAAAAACAAAAAACCCGACAACTCTTGACTACAGGTCTAGCACCCATCGAATCACCGGCCTACCGGGTGTAGGAAGCCTCGCCGCCATTGCAACCGTGGCTGTCGATTCCGCCGGTTCTGCGTCTGCTCCTCTCGTGCGGCTGCCTCTTTGGCCTGTACGTGGGATGATTTGTTTTACGACACCACGGGCAACCACAACATTGTGTGGACATTTTGATCAACTGAGGCGAACAGGATGTGACGTGCGAACTTGATCCGCGTACAGAGTGCATAGGTCTGGACACGTCTGAGCAGATCTATGCACGAAGCGTACGTTCAAAACAAACATACCTGGTTGTCCGCATTTCGCCGGGCAATGCCACGTCTCCGCTGCCGCCTGGATCCCCCAAGCGGATTTCGCCGGCCCCGCTGCCTTGTTCTGCTGGAAAACTTGCACCTCCGCCATCGCCTTAAGTTCCGCTCCACCTCACGCCTACCCCGCGCCTTGCTCCTTCGCTCGACCTTCGGATGCCACCGTTGATCCGGCTCCGTATCCGGCGGCGGTCGGCCCAGAAGCAACTATTTGTCCGCACACCATCCTGGTACCAAGCGGCGGCGGGAAGTGGGTTGACGGGGAGTGGGGGGCGCAAGAAACGCCGCCACCAACCCCAACACAACCCCCATGCACAACATCAACATCCCCACATCCACCCCAGCCGCTGAAACCAGCCGCTGAAACCAGCCGCTGACACAGCAAGGCGGACACCTCCAGAGCTCGTGCATTTTCAGCGGCGTCCCGTTCCGTCATGTCCGTAAGCGGAACTCGTTGTTCGCCAACCTACAACATAGAAACGTTCAATGATATCGCGCAAAGAGGGGCGTGCGCGTATTTTGGAACGTGCCCACATGTATGTCGCACCACTCGTCTTGCGTGTATTCATCTGATGGCTACAAACCGTTACCTGTAGGGCAGCTGCATTGGCCGGGGGCAGC